AAGTATGAACTCGAAAATTCACAACTTCGACAAGAGTTAACAATGCAGCCACAGTGAACATATTTACCATCAACAAGCCAACATAGCAAGGCAAACAAAATCATCAAAAAATGAAATGTACTCGAGAATCATACAGATACCTCACACAACAACAAATCAACCGCATAACTTGGTCAAACATTTAAAAGCTGCTTTTTCCATCGTAAGACTGGAACAACAGGCAACATCGCTAGTACAACGTTCAGGTGACAGGCCGTAACATTCGTAGCCTTGGAAACCGTCACAAACTTGCGTAGAACATAGCATGGCCTAGGCGCGAAGACAGTTGTGCTGCTTCGTTAAATAACGGTCACAACGATTTGCCGAGGTTGAATCCCATTCCATAGCTTACAGAGGTCCGGTAAGAGCGGGTCAGCTGAGGAGTCGAGATCATCCGAGTTCAAAACGCTCTCATCGATTCCTCATATTCCAATCGAAAGAGTGGAACAGTGAATAGCATCTGAAAGAGAACTAAAATACCAAAAAACCATACCGCACGAGCAACATTTTCCGCCTCCATTTTCCGTTGTCATGAAACAATGCTGTAGACCATAACTGCAGACCGTTACGGTTGCATCAGCAGAGGTGCTCGCGCACTTGAGTCAAACGATACCAAACTTTATCAAAAGAAAAAAAACAGATGCGCAACAAAGCATGCTTGTGCAACACCGGATAACAAAAACATACGACTGCTTGTCTCTACGTATACATAATTTTTTTTAAAATTGAACTAGTACATGAAGTCTCAAAATTTCAAGACATCTGAGCAAAAATATGATTATGTAAATTATCGACCTTAAAAAGTCGTTTCATTCACAGGGCACTTCGGCACGTCTGTTTCGAATACGCAGAGCTGAGAAAGGTGGCAAACTGCACGACGACTTCGCACGAATCCGGTAACGTCAGACGCTGCCAGCCGGTGAACGGTACGCAAACAAATGAAGCGGGAACGCCGGCTTCAGTGACGACGTTTGCTCATCACCTCGGCGTTCCTCATCTTCTCCAACGTCAGGCTTTCGATGACGTCCAACAGGTTACGTTTGTGTGCTTTACATT